GATCAAATCTTTTTACAAATCTAACACACGCCCCTCCTCTCTCCCACCTCTTTCGTTCGTCACATTGTTAATTAATGAGGATCCCGTGAAACTTTATGACGAGCATATTAATGAACCTTAAAATAGCTGATAATTATGACACGCGAGGGGAAAGGGGAGGGGGAAACGCTTTTTTGATTCGTGCGCACCAAGATCGCGCTGACGTATGACATATTATTTAAAGCGCCGCGGCTACCACTGATGCGTAGATTCCGTCACGAGCAAACGAACGATCAAGGGCTCGAACGTTTTCCGTTCCACCCGCAATCGGCGGCAGTCGGGGCTTCTTGTGGCCGCGCGCGAAGGAGATACCACGGGACACGCAACCCATTCGTCGCAGCGTCCGAAAGGAAAGCAGTCAGCAACATGGACAATCGAATTTCCATTATCTCCATTCCCGTAGGTTAGTCTATGTCCCTTCACTGTATTATTTCATCGCCGTCGATCGAGACCCAAGCACGTTCGATTCGGACTTAGAATCGTATTTCAAAGTTGTTTCATATGAAATCATTTGATATAAATTTTACTAGTCAAGTGATCACAATTTTAAACATTTTTGTCTTTCAATATAGTTTGTATGTGTAACTTTGTTCATTTTTTTCTTTCTTGTTTCGCCAGCCTTCAGCCAGCTCTTCAATATGACACTCCTCAAATTCGAGAAACCTTTATATCGATCAAATTTTGAGAATATCCCTCTGTATAAAAAGAGATCATATATCTATAAAAAATCTATGAAAGACCAATTATAGATTTATTAAAGATTTCGCTATTTTTTCTCGTTCGGATATGGAAACTGAAGATTAATCTGAAAATTGAAATTAATCTCGCGTATCGGGGGAAGTATTGGAAGAAGGTAGACTCCATTTTATTTTCTCGTTTGGCACGAATTCGCGAGGCGTGCTTGAGTATTCTCAACTGATTTAAATCTCTCTCGAAATTGCCATGATAATTTCGTTTACTTTCGTCGTCTTCTTATCGCTACTTCGTGTCAAATTTTCAGCTTCTGCCTCTTTCTGCGAACAGAGAGTAGCAAATATCGAGAAGCTTATCGTGCATCCTTCAGCCAGGAAGAGAAAAAGCGTGTCTTCTTCTCCTTCTCACCATCATTTCCATCATTATCGCAAAACTATCACGCGCACTATTGAACCCGTCGAAGTGGCGGAGCGTAAATGCGACTTTAATTATTGACCAATTCCCCATTCCACGCGCAATCAGCCGGTCAAAGTCGCAGCCGACGCGACATCTCTGCGAATTGGTTCCACTTAGAATCACATGTGCAATTTTCACGACGTGTTGTAAAAAATAATTGCACTGGGACGCAAAACGTAAAAACGTGTTCATAAAGGAAAAGCCATTAACGCGACATTCGTAATTGCGCACAAGTCACAAGTTCTATATATATTCTCAAAGAAGTATCCATTTCATTCTCGAATATTCGCGTTAGCATATTTTGCGCGTCAACATTCAGGTGTCGTTCCATTGAATTTGAGCCATTTGAATTCTAATTTCTGCATCTGTACAATTGTCTGAAACGAACCGACGTCAGGTAAGACGAAGAGAAGCAGCTACTATTTTATCGTCACGGCTAATTAGCGTGAATTCATTTAAAATTGCATACGTATTTATGGAAATATCGACAAAGACACGCTGTAATTACACGCTTCGTTTCTTATTTGCAGACGATGTAAATCATACGGTAACTTTCACGTCGTATACTGTACACAAAGCATTAACCTTCTTCAACATGATTTTCTGGGGAATGATTTGAAAAGAAGGTCCTGTGTGACGCGTATACTCGTAGAAATTTAACTTAATTAATTTCGATTAACGTATACTCGTTAGGGCTAGTATTTTCTTTCTGAGGTGCTTTGACGTTCGAATTTCGTATCTTCGAAGATTCGAAGCTTTGGTGTTTATTATTCGACTTTTGAAAATATCAAAGGCTCGGATGTCGGGATTATAAGATTGTTTAAATGTCAACAAACATTATTTCAACGACATTTGGAGGGAGAGGAGGGAGAGCAAAGCACCGTGAACGGTTCGACGGATAGTCGGTCTCGTCGTGAAATCGACGGTACCAAAACGCACCATTACAAAATTAAGATAAGCCGTTCAAAGATCGGCTCGGTTTAGGTAACATCGAATTCCTAATTAAAACGTGGAACAATGGAACGAGATTGACTGTCGCGACACGAAAATGTCCTGGCAACTCCTGGGGCAAGAAGGCACGCGTGCGATAAATTCTTATTACTACAGGATACTGGTAACTCGATCAATCAACGGAGCGGTAAAGTGCACGCACCTGTGTAATCTGATGATTCTCTATCGATGTCTATTTGCTTAATTACAGCTGTGAAAAAAGCCGATTTACGTCGATTCCTCAACGGTTCTTGCGGTATCGCAAATATGATTTTTTCTTTTCTTCTTTTTTGACACTTGAGTTGTCAACTGGGCAAGTAGGTCGCAGATCATTGCGAAACGCGAATACACGTACGTAAATTTCGTGGTGCAAATTTTTAAAAACTTGCAACACGCGTAATCAACATTTAATCGACATATATTTCGCGAACTCGCGATGTTACGAAGAAGACGATAAGTCGAATGGATAACTTACGTGCTTATTCAATAAAACGTGTCTTCCGTTTTTATATACATTGAGAAAAAAAGTGTTTACTTCTTGTAACTATAATAGCACAGTGAAAATATTATAGTTAGAACCATTATAACCATAAAACCTAAAAGTAATTAAAATTTTTGCAAGAATAATCATTTTCCTTCTTTTAATATAAAATCAACTGAAAACTATCGACATCTCGAATATCTTGAAAGTTACAGGAGTTAAAAGAAATTCCATACCTACAGAGACAAGGAAGAAAAATTGTATCCTCTTTCTATACATTTGTTCCAGCAATTTTTTTAATTTATATAATTTCATAGATACGTAGATAGATTACACGCGCGCAATATTACTCATGACTACTTCATGGCTGCGAATAACAGATATCTCAGGTTTTAAGCGAACTAAATGTTGAATTCGATCCACCAACAACGATCCCGCGATCTTTCTTTGCAAATTACGATGTGATTACAGCGATTATTATTAGAAATCATTCCCTCGATAAACCTGTTGTATCATTTTCTCCTCGTTTTTACAGAAAATTCCCTGTATCAACCCAAAAAAGAAACTGCGGACGAAGCACAAATAATGAACGTCGAAAAAGCAATGGAGATATGCGGTGAGTTGCATTATCCACTCCTGGATAACCGCGCGGAGTATGCGATTTTATATACATCTTGAATTAATTATATAATTATTGGGTGAGTGCAAAAGTTCGTGCGGAGTTTGTGAGTAAAAGTCAGACAGTGATTAGGCAAACAAAGTTCTTTATTCAATCAATGATATATTCTCCATCGTTGTCTATAATCTTTTTCCAACGTTCTGGCAGCATACGGATGCCCCGATCATAAAAACTGCGCGGTTTAGATTCGAAGAACGAAGACACGACGTTTTTTAAGGCATCCAAAGAGTCAATTTTTTT